GGAGAGGGGACTGGGGCGCTAGTGTTTAGTGAGTATGAAGTTTCAGTTTGATAGTCCCAGAAGTTCTGGGACTAGATAGTGGTGATGGTCATACAACAATGTAAATGTACTGAATGCTGCTGAGCTGTATATTTAACAAATGATTAAAATTGTCAATTTATTCTGTGCATATTTTGTCACAATTAAAAAAACAATCAGGGGGCCGGGCGCAGTGGCTCACACCTGTAATCCTAGCACTTTGGGAGGCCGAGGCAGGCAGATCACAAGGTCAGGAGATTGAGGCCATCCTAGGTAACATGGTGAAACCCCGTCTCTACTAAACATACAAAAAAATTAGCCGGGCATGGTGGCAGGCACCTGTAGTCCCAGCTACTCAGGAGGCTGAGGCAGCAGAATGGCGTGAACCCGGGAGGCAGAGCTTGCAGTGAGCTGAGATCACACCACTGCACTCCAGCCTGGGCAACAGGGTGAGACTGTCTCAAACTGCACTCCAGCCTGGCAACAGGGTGAGATCCTGTCTCAAAAAAAAAAAAAAAAAAAAAAAAAAAAATTCAGGAAGGTAATACTTTCCCCAGGACAAATCTCCAGGCCTCTCTAAAACACAGTTTTCTCATCTGCAAAATGGGGGGAGAAATCCATTCCCCCCATTCTTTTGTTGTTGTTTTTCTGCAATAGGGTCTCACTCTGTTGCCCAGGCTGGAGTGCAGTGGCACCATCTTAGCTCACTACAGCCTTGACCACCCAGGGCTCCAGCGATCCTCCCACCTCAGCCTCTCGAGTAGCTGCGACTATAGGCGTGCACCACCACCCCCAGCTACTTTTTTGTAATTTTTAGTAGAGAGAGGGTTTCACCATGTTGCCCGGGTTGGTCTCGAACTCCTGAGTTCAAGCGATCTGCCCACCTCAGCCTCTCAAAGTGCTAGGATTACAGGCATGAGCCACTGTGGCCAGCCCATTCCTCCCTATTCTTTGAGCTTGGTAGAGAGAGAGAATCCATGCCTTTGTTCTCTGCCAGGTCAGGAAAGCGTTTTCCAAATGATACTTTACAAAAAACAAAAAAAAACAAAAAAAAAAACACTAAAAAAAACTAAAGAGAAATCAAAATGGAACTAAATAGTGATATACAAAAGCACAAAATGGCCCCATATCTAGAGGGTCAATTCCTGGATGGACAGGAGGCTGGAGGTTGTATGGATAAGGAAATGAGTTGCGCGAGAGGAGGAGGTTGCCCAGAGTACACAGCAATGGAGCTGAGCCGGTCTCGGTCTCCTCCCCCAGCCCTAAGTCCTCTTTCCTCAGCCATAGGTCCCCAAACCCTTAAGAGGGTATGTGGCTTCTGCCATGACACCTGTGTCCCATTCCCTTTGCCTGGCCAAGTCCATGCATCTTGCTTTCTTCTGGAAGTCCTTGCCAGATAAGATGCCCCTTCCATGGGCTGAGTCAGCACCCTCTGTTGGGGAAGGTCCATGGAGCCCCTGTCTCTCTCCTACATCTCTGTAGCTTAAGAGTCAAGGGTCCGGCTCTGGAGCCAGATGTCTGACTTCAAGTATCCCACTTACTAGCTGAAGGACCTTGGGCAGACTTTTAACTTCAGTTTCCTTCCCCATAAACAAGGATGATAATAGTGTTTACGTTATGCAGTTACTGTGAAGGTCAGATGAATTCATTCATTCAAAGGGCTGGGAAGAGTGCCGGTGCCGGTGAACACTTGGGAGATGTTAGCTCTTCCGTGTACTGCTCAGGACCCCTGCACCTGCACGCACTGAGTGCTCCTACCTGTTTGCTGAATTTTCCCAACCGGGGAAATAAAGGCAGTCACCGCACAGCCTTGGGGGTGGGGGCTCTGGTTTATGGGCTCCCTTCTCAGGCTTCACATTTATACAGCTGTGAAGGACCAGGACCACACCTGCCCTGTCTGGTCTCTCCTGAGGAAATGGTAGGGGATATCCTCAAAGCCCCCCTCCCCATTTTATTCCTATAACAGCCTGGCCCAGCCCAGCCCTGCCATAGAAGGAGTGGGTGATGTGGTCACAACAGGACCATATGGGGACCTGCCCCTTGCTATTTCTCACTATTTTGGGCCAATCTGTTGACATGACAACCAGGCTTTTAGACCCTGCCGCCCAGGGCTCTGTTTCTATCCTTACGCTTGCGTTCTGCATGACGCAGCCTCCATTTACCAGCTGCCTCCGTGGTTGGAGGGGCAGAGTCACAGATTCTGCAAGACCCCCTCCCCTTAACAGCTAGAGCAGGCAGCAGGTGAGACCTCCCACCGGCATCCCTACTCCCAATATGCATGGGAACTGGCAGCTCCCCTCCCCAAAGCCTGCAAGCCTTAGGCAAGCACAGAGGGAGGTCAGGCAATCACCTAGAAGCTTTGCATGAAACCCCAGGGCTGACTCACCTTCCCCAGCCAGGAGCTGATAAGGCCCATCCCCACGCTGCGCTCAGTCTCCAGATACTCATATTTTAGGAAATACTAGGTCAACAAGGGATCCTAGGGGCTGTCTGGGCCAAGCGCTGCATTGTGAACCCAAGTGGTGCAGCTTGTCTGAGATCTACAGGACCCCACCCCTGTCAGCCCATGATTCAGGCCACCCCACCAAGATTCCATACATGGTGCTCGAAAATAGATGGCAAAGAGTGTGTGTGTTCTCCTGCACAACAGAGCACACAGAATTTTATTCTTATGCCGGGAACTTTGTGATCACAAACAACATGCCAGGGACAACATGCACGGGCTGAGTGCCCCCTAGGGTGGCAATAACAGCAGGCAGAAATAATAATAATAGCACTCAGCTCCTGAAGCTTGCTATGCGGCAGGGAAAATCCTGCACACTTCACAATCATCATCTCATGAAGCTGCATGTCCACAGCAACCCCCATTTTACAAAGGTGGAAAGAGAAGCTCAAAGAGTTTACATAACCAACTCCAGGACACACAGACAGCAGGAGGGAAGCTGGGCTTGGGGCCAGCCTGTCTGTGCACTCACCCACAACCTCATGAATCTTGGTGGTGGGGGGAGCTCAAGGATGAAGTAGCAGCAAGCATCACTGCCTTCCCAGAATCCCCACAGCCACCCGGGGTGAGGGCACAGGTAAAGAAACTTCCAGCAACGCACTCAGAGCAATAAGAAAAAGTGCTGGGGAGGGGAAGGGTAGATGATTGGGAAGAGCAGGGAAGAGAGTATTCACTTATAAGTAAGTTATTTTTATTTATTTTCATGTTTTTGGAGACAGAGTCTCACTCTGGAGTGCACTGGTGCAATCTTGGCTCACTGTAACCTCTGCCTCCCGTGTTCAAGCCAACTCTACTGCCTCAGCCTTCCAAGTAGCTGGGATTACAGGCGTGCATCACCACCTCCAGCTAACTTTTTGTATTTTTAATAGAAATGGGGTATCACCATGTTGCCCAGGCTGGTCTTGAACTCCTGAGCTCAGGCAATCCACCTGCCTTGGCCTCCCAAAGTGCTAGGATTACAGGTTCGAGCCACTGCGCCCAGCCTACTTATAAGCAAGTTCTAAGAGCTGTACCCTGAGCGAGGCTCATTCAGAGACAACATCCATCTGAAAAATTTCTGTCTTAGAAGAGGCCAGTGACTGGAACTGAGGAGGCCGGAGAGACATCTTGGAGAACGAGGCTTTTGAAAAGGAAGGACAGGAGCGTCTTCATTTTCCACAGTTCAGGAACTGCATCACCTACTCTCCAGGTAGAAAGTAAAAAATTCGTGTGCCACACCCACTGCATCCTCCACACTCTCTAGAAACAGGGTCAACACAAAACTACACAGGGAGATCTACTGTTAATATCGTGCATAAAGAAGAAAACAAAGGAATTTCGCTAGGAGGCTGGCGGGTGCAGTCAGCTGAAATAAATAAATTAAAATGCGACATTGTTGTCTCTGTGTACATTTGTTTTAATTACTGTTTACTGAAAAACTAAAACTTCACATAGGGAAGAAGAAAAAAAAAGTCCCCAAACGTGCATAACCAGCGTCTGTATGACAGATCTAACTTGGGGCGGGTGGGGTGGGACTTTCGTCTTCAGCTGTCACAGCAGCACCCAGCCAGGGGCGCGCACACAGCAGATCAAGCATCTGGAATGGGTTTCCACATGGCTGGCAGACGCTTGGACCTAAAAGCTCATCCAGCGAGCATGAACCCGGCTACCTAGGAGGCGGCATCACACAGCAACTCAGCCTCCGAGCCCGCCCACAGGCCACATGGGATGGGCAGAATTTTCCTGTTCCATCACAGTACACCACGTGTCCTCTATATGGTTTTCACTCTGTCTTTTATTAACGAGCCTCTTGTACACACAAATGGCTCCCCTGCCCCCTACCTCCTTATCGCCCTGGAGTGGACCTACCTGAAGGCAAGAACCATGCCTGTGCCACCTTTCTTGGGCCTGACCCTGAGCTCAGGCTGACCGGAAGACAAGACGGCACCCCCAGCTGCTGCATCTGTGGGGAATGGCAGAGAAGGCCTCATTCCTGGGTGGGATCTTTGGTGGCCTTGAAGGTGAGGACTGCAACCTGGGGGTCTCAAACTCAGTTCCTCAGGAGGCCTCTTGAAGAAAGACTGATATGGCATGGCCCTGCTGGGCAGGGCTCTGAGTCCCCACCACCATTTAACCAGAAGGGTTCCCTTCTGGAGATTTTATATGTGGACTTCCAGCAAATTGTGTTGGAATGGAGGGTTCTGTAGCCAAGCAGACCAAAGAACATCAGGAGACTAGAGCAGCCCCCTGAGGGCCTCGCCATAGCGGCTGGGCCTCACTCCATCACCTGGGGTCCTCTCAACCTAGGACCTGCAATGGGCACACTAGGCCTGTTTAGCAAATGGACAGAGAAAACAAAACAAAACCTCTCAAGAAACAAGTATAATCTTTAAGTTTCAACACAGGGTGAGGGCCCAGTGTTTTCTCCTGACCCGATGGAGGTTGAATTACACATGATCTTCAATCCCAGGCTGAGGGGGCCACCTCTGTCCTATGGAGCATGTGGCCCCAGGCCCCTCAGACACAGCATGCAGTGGTGCTGACGGGCTCTGAGCGGGGCATACAGGTATACAGTGACCTGCCCAAGGAGGCTCAGGTATCAACTCAGGACACAAAACAGACCTGGGGACCCCACCCCACGTGGCACCAGGAGGCTTTGCCCAAGTCAAGAAGAGGGAGACAGGACAGTGTCTGAATTAGAAGGTGAGGTAGGAATGCCAGGGAGAGATGGGGATGGGTACAAGGCAGTTTGAGGACTGACCAGCCCGGTCTGGCTGAGGCAGATGGTAGGAGAAATGGGCAGAGCCGGAGCGCCAAAGTATTAATAGAAACCCGCCTGGATGCAGAGGGTAGGAATGCGAAGAGTCAATTAAGAAAGGGACAGGCATGCGCTGGCTAATTGCTGAAGCTGGGGGATGGGCTCATGGAGGCAGCTTATCCTACTCTTTCTAGTGAGGCATACATCTGAAATCACCCATCATAAAAAGCTCAAGAAAAAATCAGAGGAACAAGGAAGGGCCGTGCGGCCCCCCAAATCTCCCCTTTTCTCATTTCAATGATTCCAGGCACATCCACAGGCCCAAATCACAGCTAAGACATTGGGGCTACAAAGATGGAACAGCTCCTCTTTCTCTGCTGGGCAGAGCACTTCTTCCCAGGGAGTATTTCTAGCTGACCTCCCCACTCCAATAGCATCAACCATCATCTGTAGGCTGATGACCCCAAATCCTAACCTCCACCTCCCTGAAGCTCCAGACCACACATCTCCACCTGTGTGACCCACAGGTCCAAACCTGGACTTGCCATCTTCTCCTAAAATGTGATCAGTGTCCCAGCAAGCAGAATACAGACATGACCGGGTGAGAGAGGGGCTCTAGATTCTGACTCTGAGAAACCTGCTTTCTCTGCATAAGCCTTCTGGATAGGCATGGTGCCCAGCAAGTGCCCAGTCCAAAGAAGGGCTCAGCAAACATCAGCTGTCACCATGACTATGGTTATTTGCATTCATGTTAGTATCAACTTTCACCTCTGCAGGTTCCCCAAGGCAGAAAACTGGGAGCCATCCAAGACTCCATTGTTGCATGGCCCCTCGCACCTAGCCAGTCTCAAGTCCTGTATGTTCTACTCGCTGAGTGTCCACAGAACCATGTCAGCCTCTGCACCGCACCGCCACATGCTTGTGTCTGGCCTCACTGTGGCAGGTGACTCTGCTTCCAGGCCTGCTATCTCTCCTCTGCAAGTCACCTCCCCTCCAGAGTGATCTCCCTAAAATGAAAAGCTTATCACATCCCTCACTGATCAAAAGGCTTTCATGGCCCTCTGGTCCCTGAGTGAGCACCCTCTCACTGTGCTTTCCAAGGCTCAGCTCACATGTCACTTTTTGCTCCGAATCCTCCCTGATCCTAGTAAACGGGACTGACCGCTTCCACCCTGTGCCCCGCTGACCTCATACAAACTTCTACAACAATAACAGTGCTGCCCAGACTGTCATAAAACACACAATATCCAAACAAAACAAAACATATCAGAATACCAATGTAGACTGTCAAATTTTATTTTCTCAAGTAAGGCCATTAAAAAACAAAACAAGGGCTGGGTGCAGTGGTTCACACCTGTAATCCCAACACTTTGGGAGGCCAAAGAGGAAGGATCATTTGAGGCCAGGAGTTTGGGACCAGCCTGGGCAACAGAGTGAGACCTCGTCTCCACACAAAAAAATTGAAATTAGCCACGCATGGTGGTGCACATCTGTAGTCCCAGCTACTTGGGAGGCTAAGGCGGGAGGATCACTTGAGCCTAGGAGTTAGAGCCTGCAGTAAGCTATGAAAATGCCACTGCACTCCAACCTGGAAGATGAAGCAAGACCCTGTCTCTTAAAAAAAAGAAAATAATAATGAAACAAATAAATCAATAAACAAATCCTAATGTCTGCTATTACCACAATTTCATTTTGGAAAGGACATGATAAGAAGGGAGGAGGAGGAGGGAAGGAAGGGCACCATCTCAAAGTGAGGGGTGTTCTTTAAAACAACAAAGTTAGCTCTAGTAAAAACTCATCCTTATTTTCCTCAGGGCACCATGGTCTCTTGAAGCTGTTAAGGCCAGTATGGGCCAAGGGCTGGTCATTGTGAATGTTTCCTGGTTTGTTCCCATATCCCACTGGAGGCTGCAACTTTCAGGCGGGCACTGCCAGGCTGAACCCGGAGATGCAAGTGTGGGGTAGTGGATGTCAAGCCCCAGCTGCCTGCAATTGTCAAAGTCAAGTACAGTGCAAACAGTGTGACCAAAGGGAAGACCCTTGGCTGAGCTGCTGAGTTGGTTTTAGAAAGATTTTACTTGAACAGCTCTCTCTTCTATTTTTTATTATTTTTTTGAGACAGAGTCTTGCTCTGTCACCCAGGCTGGAGTGCAGTGGTCTGATGACAGCTCACTACAGCCTCAACCTCCTGGGCTCAAGCAATCCTCCCTCCTCAGCCTCCTAAGTAGCTGGGACCACAGGCTTGCACCACCATGCTTGGTTAATTTTTTTTTTAAATGGTTGGTGGCCAGGTGCGGTGGCTCATGCTTGTAATCCCAGTACTTTGGGAGGCCGAGGCAGGTGGATCGCGAGGTCAGGAGTTTGAGTCCAGCCTGGCCAACATGGTGAAACTACGCCTCTACTAAAAATACGAAAATTAGCTGGGCATGGTGACACGCACCCATAATCCCAGCTACTTGGGAAGCTGAGGCAGGAGAATCACTTGAATCTGGGAGGCAGAGGTTGCAGTGAGCCAAGATTGCACCACGGTATTCCAGCCTGGGCAACAGAGTGAGACTCCATCTCAAAAAAAAAAAAAAAAAAAAAAATTGGTAAAGGTCTCATTACGTTGCTTAGGCTGGTCTTGAACTCTTGAGCTCAAATGATCCTCCCTCCTTGACCTCCCAAAGTGCTGGGATTACAGGTGCGAGCCACTGCACCCGGCCTACAGCTCCTCTTTCTAATATCGCTCAGGAAACACACCCTGCAATAACGATGATCATAATAATCATAAAACAAACCTGCCCAAGCACTAGGGAACAATTTGAAATTGTTAATTGATTCGGTGGGGGAGGAAAAAACTGGAGGAAAGAGAGCGGAAATTCTCACGGAGATGCTCGGTTTCTTTTTTTAGCAAACTACCTCATACCTGCCACAGTCTTCCCTGAAACACCCAAGCGTTCACTGAATTCCACAACGTGGGGCCATAGTCTGTAGTGGAGAGTTCAGTATGCTACAGTCAGAAGCAGACATGACCTGGGTTCAGCTGTGTGGCCTCAGGCAAGTCACTTTGCTTCTCTAGGCCTTCCAATCCTATCTACAAAGCGTAGTGATTCCTTTTCGAGCTGTAGGGAGGGCCAGAGACACAGGAAAACACAGGCTCTGGAAACATGAGGACTTGGCCACCCAAGGGACTGCTGCTAGTATTCTTGTTGCTGCTAAGAAGACTGAATGCTCAGCAAGTCTGGACTAAGAGAGAAATGGGTTTCTTGTCAATAAATACGCCCACTCTCTCTGCCCTGTCTCCTACAGAGCACCTCATTTCATTTGCCAAGGCATTCCCTGTTTCAGAAAGATAAACAAGATCCCTGAAGGCTGGAAATCATTCTTCCAGCAACTTCCTCATTGCCCGCTGCAACTAAGATCTGGGTGGACATTCTCCGGCAAAGGATTTGGTCTGGAACTTTTCCACTGTGTTTCCTCAATGACCAAGGTTCATTCATGCTAGAGAGAGGAGGAATTTAATATCGCTAATTACTTTTTAGGGAGCAGTTTCATCCTGGAAATTTTGAAATTGATGTCTTATCCAGTTTCCCCTTGGTTGATATTATTCTCTCAAGATCCTTACTGAGCCTTCCAACAACACTTTTTTTATTCTCCTTCATGTTCCAGCTCTACATTTGCTTTTTTTGTCCCCCCTCAAGGGCAAGGATCGCCTCTCTGATTTTTGCCTCCCACCCTGGGCCTGGCCCATGAGTGAGGCTCCACCAGTACACTAGAAACAAAGACACGAAGATGTGATTTTCCCTAAGCATGCTTTCTGCAACTGCAGCTCAGAAATCTCACATGGTTCAAGATAAGAAACTGGCCCAAAGCTGATTAATTTTGCAAAACAGACCTTCCAGGGTAGCACACAAGATCTTCAGAAAGAATATTCTGGTTTTTGCTTCCCACTGAGAGCTTCAGGGACCATAATTAGAGCAGCATGGAGCAACAGACTCCGCTCTGGTTCACTAAACCCCAAGAACCTTCCTCCCAACACGGACAAAAATAACGTCTCGTTGCATCTGAAAATATCACCTAGAATTCAGATGTGTGCTCTCTCATTGTGTTCTGTGCATTTTTAAGCAGTTCTGTTTGGCTGGGTTTTGACAGCTGGAAGCTGAGGCTTGGAGACCCGCCCGGGCGCAGGGTGGTGCTTTTCAAAGATGTAGACCACTGCATCAGAACTACCCGGGGGCTTGTTAAAATGCCACTTCCCAAGCGCTATTCCAGACCTACCAAATCGGATTCTCTAGGGCTGCTCCATTTTTAATACACATCCCTGATGATCCGGGTACACACTAAAGTTTGAGATGCCAGCTCATTTTCCTGCCAAGGAGCTTTGCTTATTCCCCCACCCAACCTCCTACACACATCCATTTCATCGGCTTTACTGAGCAACAGTTTCTGCAGGACAGGACATCCATGCAGCTCTATGGAGTCACAGACTGCAGGTTCACCAAAGTTCTCAGTGTCTTGGTCTCTGCTCCAACATCGCCCTCACCCTTCCTAAAATAGCCACCCTTTGGGCTCCTAATGTTTGCTTTTGTTCCAGAAGATTGTGTTGTCATGCTTTTCCCTTCTACCCACAACATGGAGAAGGCTGGGCAGAGTAGGGCCTCAGAAATTGCTTACTGATTGACCAACACCTGCATGAATTGGAACACTCACTGGAAGATTGGTCCTTACATATGCATTTGTTTTTAATGCTGGCTGGATGCTCACACTAACAGCGACAACAATGGTAATCATAATAATCATAATGCTGGTGATAAAGATCTTTATGTAAGGCCCTTTCCAGGTTACAAAGACATGTCACACATTTTCCCCTTGACAGTCATCTGTAACACTCAAAACAAACGTTATCACACCCACTTTACAAATGGCAAACTGAGGCTCGGAGACATTAATTGGCTTTCCTGAGGACTCACAACTAGTTGCTTGCAGGGCTGTTACTCCAATGTAGACCTCTCAGCTCCCAGGGGTCAATCATTCTTTCCCTGATCCAGTAAATAATGACTGAGCCCCCACGATATGCCATTCACCACACCGGAGCTAAGGACCAAGAGCCAAGGCTGACGAGGTCCCTGTCTTCCTGGTCTCCCAGCCAGATCATCCCTAATGACATGGAAGCTGTCATCAGCCAGGAGACAAGATATGTAAATGGCAAGGCAACAAGGCATAACAGAACAAGGCAGGGCGTGCCCATGAGACGAAACCAGGGCAGCAGTGCCCCTCTCCTTCTGTTGAGGCCTCCACAGGGATGTGCAGTGTAACAATGGAGCAGCCAGGCCACCATCCCCAGGTCAGGTTTCCAACTGCACCTGCCCTGCCAGTCTCAGGTGCTATGAGCCGCAGAACTTGGAGGCAACAAGGGGAGCACCGCTCTCAGCATGAACAGGGGGATTTTTCAGAAAGGGTAGAGCAAGGTGGCCTTGGTACAAGCTGCCATTCCCCAGGATGGTGCTGCAGATCTGCAGTTGGCCACTCGCCACCCTGAGGCTAAGCTTACATCTGCATCTTGGGCTATGGACTCTCACCTGCCTTATGGAGCTACTGTGATGCCCACATGAACGTGATGGGGAAACCCACAAGCCCAGCCTGAGGTCAGCAATCACCATGATTCCTCAGGGCCCACTTCCTTTTCTTAATGGATCTTCTAAGGGTCTAGAGACTGTTGCTGCCATTTGGGGCTATGGCAAGGTGTGCCTCTAGGACGCCCTGCTACCTTCACATCTTTCTTTAACTGAGGCTTCAAACCATGTGACACAAGCAGACTAGCCATGAGACCCCAGCACATCACTTAACCTTGTAGCATCCCATTTCTTCACCTGTAATTCGGGATAATGGAACTGTCCTCCTCGAGTTCATGTGAGGATTTAAAGGGTAAATACATACAAACTGCTTGGAATAATGCCTGGCACATCAGAAGCACTATGGTGTCTACTATCTTTTTTTTTTTTTTGAGATGGCGTCTCACTCTCTTGTCCAGGCTGGAGTGCAATGGCATAATCTTGGCTCACCGCAACCTCTGCCTCCCAGGTTCAAGCGATTCTCCTGCCTCAGTCTCCTGAGCAGCTGGGATTACAGCCATGTGCCAACACGCCTGGCTAATTTTGTATTTTTAGTAGAGACAGGGTTTCTCCATGTTGGTCAGGCTGGTCTCGAACTCCCGACCTCAGGTGATCCGCCCAGTTCGGCCCCCCAAAGTGCTGGGATTACAGGCATGAGCCACCGTGCCCGGCCTATTATCTTTTTTTTATTATCACTTTCCTTTTTTTAAAAAAAAAGTCCAAACAGTGCGAGATCCGCTGCTGCTGAGGAGAGAAGCATCAACAGCAGCACCACGGGAGGTCCGATTGATCCACATGAATTCCTCGGGGTTCAGACTTAAGGCTCATCTTCCTGCTCGCCCGCAGCTCCACTGGCAACCAAACCACCACTAGCCTCATGTCGCTTCAGTATCTCAACAGAAGAACCTTGAAGGCTATGTGGGATTTGCCAATCTCCCAAATCAAGTATACAGAAAATCAGTTAAGACATCTGGTTTTGAATTCACGCTATGGTAGTGGGTGGAACAATCCAAAGTTTTAATCAAAGAAGGTGGTGTTCAGTTGCTGCTCACAATAGTTGATACCCCAGGATTTGGAGATGCAGTGGATGACAGTAATTGCTGGCAGCCTTACAATCAGCTACATTAATAGTAAATTTGAGGACTACCTAAATGCAGAATCTCGAGTGAATAGACGTCAGATGCCTGATAACAGGGTGCAGTGTTGTTTATACTTCATTGCTCCTTCAGGACATGGACTTAAACCATTGAATATTGAGTTTATGAAGCATTTGCACGAAAGAGTATCATCTCACTTATTGCCAAAGCAGACACACTCACACCAGGGGAATGCTAACAGTTTAAAAACAGATAATGAAAGAAATCCAAGAACATAAAATTAAAATATATGAATTTCTAGAAACAGATAATAAAGAAGAAAATAAACTTGTTAAAAAGATAAAGGACCATTTACCTGTTGCTGTGGTAGGTAATAATACTATCACTGAAGTTAATGGCGAAACAATCAGAGGAAGGCAGTATCCTTGGGGTATTGCTGAAGTTGAAAATGGTGAACATTGTGATTTTACAATTCTAAGAAATATGTTGATAAGAACACACATGCAGGACTTGAAAGATGTTACTAATAATGTTCACTATGAGAACTACAGAAGCAAAAAACTGGCAGCTATGACTTATAATGGAATTGATAACAACAAGAAAAAAGGGCAGCTGACTAAGAGCCCTCCGGCACAAGTGGAAGAAGAAAGAAGGGAGCATGTAGCTAAAATGAAGAAGATGGAGCTGGAGATGGAGCAGATGTTTGAGATGAAGGTCAAAGAAAAAGTTCAAAATTGAAGAACTCTGAAGTTGAGCTCCAGCGGCACCATGAGCAAATGAAAAAATAATTTGGAAGCACAGCATAAAGAATTAGAGGAAAAACGTCGTCAGAGGACGAGAAAGCAAACCGGGAAGCTCAACAACGTATTTTAGAACAACAGAACTCTTCGAGAACCTTGGAAAAGAACAAGAAGAAAGGAAGATCTTTTAAACTCTCCATTGACCACCAGTTACGTATTAGTTGCCAATATGCCAGCTTGGACATCAGTGTTTGCTGGATCCGTTTGACCAATTTGAGCGTTTTATCTAGAATGATGGATTAAACAGCATGACAAACATTATTTTTGTTGTTGTTGTTCTTGATGGAGATTAAGACGCCTTCAATTGTCTATAGGGTGTTGTGTGCTTAGTAACAGCTCTCCCTTTCCTACTTTTTCTTTTTCTTTTTTTATTAAACAGATTATCTTCAGTTGAATGCAAGAGAACATTTTACTGTTGTACAATCATGTTCTGACGGTTTGATTGTTTACAGGATATTCCAAAATAAAAGGACTCTGGAAGGTTTTCATTGAGGACAAAAGGCCATAATATGATGCAAACTACGCTTCTCTATGATAATGATAATACAAAGGTTCCATTCAGTGCAGCATATACAATGATGTAATTTAGTATAACACAGTTGACCCATGTTTTGACACTTCCATTGTTTAAAAACACACATGGAAAAAAACCCCTACATGCTTATAGTGCACCCAGAGCTTTTTTATAACACCCTCCTTTTGTTTGTTTGTTGTGGATTCTTTAAATATATATTATTCTCATTTAGTGCCCTCTTTAGCCGGAATCTCATTATTACTTCATTTTTGTAATAACATTTAATTTAGCTAGTGTCCATATATTGGCCCTGCTAAAATAGAATATAGCATCTTTCATACGGTAGGAGCCAACAAGGAAACTTTAACTCCTTTTTACACTTTATGGTAAGTAGCAGGGGGAAAAATGCATGTATAGATCATTTCCAGGCAAAATTGTGAAGCTAATGACCAACCTGTTTCTACCTATATGCAGTCTCTTAATTTACTAGAAATGGGAATCACGGCCTCTTGAAGAGAAAAAAGTCACCATTCTGCATTTAGCTGTATTCATATATTGCATTTCTGTATTTTTTGTTTGTATTGTAAAAAATTCACATAATAAACGATGTTGTGATGTAAAAAAATGTACAAACAACACGCATCGGTGGAGAATCTCTGCAACTGACATAGAATCATTTCTTATAAAACCATTGTTCCATCTCTGGCATCTCAGACAGCCTGAATTCTGCCCCCACTCCCATCCAGCTCCTCCGTCACCCACCTCAGGTGCCCTACATCACAGTCATCTTGCAGCTGGCATTTTCCAAGCAGAATTTATCTTTTCCCACTTCTGTGCCTTTGCTCCTCACCTCCCCCCAGTTTCTTGCACCTCAAATGCCCTTTCCCTTCCACCTATGAAATCCAAAGCATGCCCATATTTCAAGTGAATGTCGGGGAGGAGTGGGAATGGTCTCCTGACATTTCATTGGGTGATTTTTCCACATAACAGAGCACCTAACCCCTCCCAGCTTAACCCATCTAGGAGGGCTAAGCCCTAAGCCCTAAGCAATGAGTGGCAAGACTGATTGAAGGGCAGGGCTCCAAGGTGGGTTTTTGGCAGTGAGCAGGGCATGGTTCAGGGGACATGGTGCTAAGGGCCTCCAGCTTTTGGCCCCCTCAGAAGGGTGGGGCTGCTGGGAGTGGCCTGGGGCAGAGCTGGGCTCCAGGGTCCCTGGGTGCCAGTGGCACAGCCCTTACATCCTCAAAGTCATTGTGATGCCCCATCTGCTACCCTAATAAGTCTGTGCAGACACTGAGGGCTCCAAACCCAGGCTCAGGGCCAGGACACTGGGCAGTGGTGCTAGTGGTTCTGAAGAGGGCTTGCCATAGCAGCACTGGGAGGCTGTTTCCGCAAGCCAAAAGGGCAGAGGGGCCATGGCCAAGGTCAGAAACCCAGACACGGAGGCTGCACTTGGCAATGAAGGGGACATAGAAGCATGTGGATATCAGGGGCTGCGGCTCACCATGCCCCAAACCAAACTCCTGTCCTCCCTGTGCCCCTCTCCCAGATGCCTCATTTCAGTGGACAGCACCCATCCTCCATCCACCCGGCCTAGGAAGGCAGTGCAGCCTGCCAAGGGCTCCAGAGCCTGCTGCCTGGACTTAACTCCCACTTGGTGGCTTGACAGCAGGCCCATTTAACCTCTCTGAGCCTCAGTTTCCTGCCTATAAAGAGAGGATGACAATAGTGCCTATCTCATTGGGTTTAAAATGAGTCAACCTGTCTGGAGCAGTCAGGACACAGAGCCTGGCCCACAGCCTGCACTACGTGAGGGCTCACTTCTATAGTCAGGTCCTTAGCACCGTCCTGGCTGAAAGGCAGCCTGCAAAAATATGCATCCGTGCCCTAACTCCTGGAACTGTGAATGCTGCCTTATATGGTAAAACAGGGAATATTACCTTACATGGCAAAAACGTGATTTAGTGAAGGCTTTTGAGAGGAGGAGCTTATCCTGTAATATCCAGGTAGGCTATAAATCTCATGAGTGAGGCAGAAATAGACTTAGACTAGACAGGCAGGAGACAGGAGACAATGTGACCAGGGAGGCAGTGATTGGAACCACACAGACCCGAGTCAGGGAACGCCAACAGTGACCAAAAGCAGGGAGAGGCCCAGAAGGACTGGTTTATCCCCCAGGGGCTCCAGAGAGAGCCGGCCCGGCCAAGGCTTGATTTCAGACTTCTGGCCTCCAGGATTGTGACAGAAAAAAACGTGTGCTCTTTTCAGCCACCCTGTTTGTGGCAATTTGTTCTGGCAGCCACAGGAAGCAAAGACAAGGTGCCTCCTTAATCCCAGTTACTCTGGAGAATTGCCTGAGCCCAGGAGGCAAAGGTTGCAGTGAGCAGAGAATGCACCATTGCACTCCAGCCTGGATGAAAGAATGAGACTCTGTCTGAAAAACAAACAACAACAACAACAAAAACAAGGTGCCTCCTTGACATCACTCTCCCCACCTTCCACTGCTTTCTCAAGTCTCCCTCTGTCCAGGGAGGTCATTCCTCCCTGCTGCCTACAGAACCACCATCCTGTCCTCTCCCAACTGGGCTACTTCCACCCAACAATGGGCTCCTCAGCCCCCAACACCAGCCTGAGATAAAGACTGGGATAAAGATCAATGCCGCTACCCTGCCTCCCGCCCTGTAAGGCCCTGCGTGGCATGGCCACTGCCACTTCCACTGCCTACCTTGTCCCTAGGTCACCCTGGTGTCTTAGGCTTCAGTCACAGTCCCTTGTAGTTGCCATGTCTCCTTCAGCCATGGAGCCACCACACTTACTGTCACCCCATCCCATTCCTGCCCTACGTATTTCCTACTTGAGCTTCTCCAACAACGAAAACTGCTATGGATTCCTTCATCACATCCCAAGTGCACCCGAGGAATGAATGAATGAATGAATGAATGAATGAATGAATGAATGAATGAATGAAATTGGAAGATTCATATATCCCAGGCATAGCTAATTGGACAAGGTATGTAAACCCAAGCCATAGGCTAGCTGCTGACCTATAACCTTGCAGGCCCAGGAAAAATGAGCTGGCAAGGCAGAGATTTTCTCTCTTGAGAATCTGGATTTGGAAATGTTAAGAAAATGAGAAAGTGCTCTTCAGAGCACACACCACTTTCTTAGAAAAGCCTCCCCGATTCTGGGTAGGTTCCCCAGTCACGCACACTCCCAACACCGTGTACCTTGCCTTCGTGGCTGTGGTCACACTACATCTGTCTGCCTCACTAGACCCCACGTTCCATGGCAGCCTTGTTCAGCACTGCTTCCCTGGTGCACCCAAGGAGTGAATGAATGAATGGCAATTGACCGAGGAGCCACCTGAGTTCATCTCACAACATAGCTGGAGGCTACACCAGGAGAATGATTCATTCCAGAATCCAGGAGGTGGAGAATGGGCCTGCTCAGTTCCTGGCTGGTCTATTCAAACCCATCTTCGAGGCTCTATCTGGGCCCTGCCCAGGAAGAGAGAAGGGACCACCTGCAGAGTGTCCCCAGAGTCAGCCAGTCTGGAGAGCGGACAGCCAATTATATCCCACGAGTTTTGGCTGCAGAGCCTGTAGCTGTAGAAGGGCCCCCTCAGGCCCAGCATGGCCTGCACAGCTCTGATGGGCTCTCAGCAGCAGAGAGCACAGATGCGGTGTGTTTGGTTCCAGAGGAAAGGACCAGAACTAGGATACGGGGGCTGGGGCAGAAAACTACAGGGAGGCAGGCACCAGATGGAGAATAATGACATTTTTTTTCAAAGCCAGGCCTATGCTTGGATGCAACAGAAAGGTGGTCGGTCAGCCAGTCCTGGAGCTGTCCAGGTGTTAGATGCCCACCTGTGTGACAGACTTAGGAGGGATTCAAGCACTAGAGGGCCCCCTCTAACCCAGAGAGTCTGCGCTTTTGTTCTCACTATCACAGTTATATACATTCTAATGTGCTGTCACAGCCTCATCTGTTTCCTGGAGAATGTGACAAGCACTGTTTTATGAAGAAAGTAAACAAAAGAATCCCAGCCAAGGTGGTATCGCAAATTAAATTCACATTTTGAGGTCTCCTCCTCCTTGCTGTAACAAACACACAGCAATGATAGCTGAAATACAAAAATAGAAAATTTGAAGACATAGCATTACTCAAAAATAAAATTCTCAAGGGGGGAAAGAAGAAACCACAACATGGTGAGTGGAGATGAGGCTGCAGGCTTGATGGGCTCTGAGTGCAATACAGAGAGAAGTGCCTGGCATTGACAATTCTCTGGGGTAACAGAGACTCATAGCACCCCTAAGTAAAGGCGGGGGCCAGAGCCACAATCAATGCAAAAGAGAACTAGAGTCAAGCTCACTATATGAAGCAAAGGGTTGGAGCAGAGCCAGTAGAGAAGGGCTGCCTCTGCTCTAGAGGAAAGCTGGGACGAAGTTCTACCAACTGCTACCTGCTGCCTCAGCCCACAGGAAGCTGCACGCTCTGGATGGCAGGACGAGGTGGAAAACAGCAACAGATGGAATGCAAATATGGCCAGTTACTCACCCCTTCCTATACCCATGGCCTTTGGAATGACTTCGAATCTCCTACCATCAAAAGTCGAGTTTGCACCCACGACCAGTTTATGCCTATAATTCCAACACCTTGGGAGGCCAAGGTGGGAGGATCGCTTGAAGCCATGAGTTTGAGACCAGCCTGGGCAACATGATGATACCCAATCTCTATAAACATTTTAAAAAATTAGCCAGGCATGGTGGTAAACACCTGTAGTCCCAGCTCATCAGGAGGCTGAGGCACAAGAATTGCTTGAGCCCAGTAGATTGAGGTTATAGTGAGCCATGATTGTACCACTGCACTCCAGCCTCGGTGATGGAGAAAGACCCTGTCTCAGGGGGTAAAAAAAAAGCTGGAGGTGGGTAGAGTCTACTTTCCCACCTTTTGAATCTGGGCTGCCCTTGTGACTTGATGTGGCCAAAAGAATATGATAAAAGTGAGAGGAAGCCTGTTCCAGGCATAGGCCTCAAGAGTTACCGGAAAAAGACAGTTTCTAAGGAGTCAATAACTGGATGGACAGCAGACATCTCTTCAGCAACAAGCGGCCCAAAAGACAAATTCTGAAGGGAAATAACTGCATGCCTGGAATTCTGAACTCTGCTAAAGCAGTATCCAAAAGTGAGAGGAAAACGGAGACCTTTTAAGACACCCAAATATTAAGAGTGTTGACCATCCTTGGCACTCACCATATGCACTGAGTATAACTTGAGAATGAACTCAGCCAGAAGAAAAGGGAACCCAGAAGAAGGAAAGGGGCACAAAAAACAGTGGCGAGCAAAAGCATTAGGAAAATGTGTCAGCGAAGTTAATGAGCTACTAACTATAACACGAAAATAATAACAACTAAAATTTTTGGAACCAAAATTCTAGGAAACAATGATAGAACAGGTATTAGTGGGTTGTGAGGCATGATTACAATTCTCATCAGGTTCAGTAGAGGAGAATGATATTGAATAGCATTAGATTTGAGTAGAACAAAAGAAATTAATTTAGGATACATGCTAAAGTGTTAAGGATATAACCATGTCAGCAGAGGAAAAAGGGGGAGTGGCAGAAGGA